TTAATAAAGAATTTTAGTTAAGTTTTAGTCATCCTCAAACTTAACCCTCGAGCTCTCATTCTTCAATCCATGCATGCCTTGTGCAGCCACAAACATACCTCCAGTATTTCTGTCAAACTCTAAACGCTTATCAAAGACACCCTCAGAAATTCCAAGTTTGACATCTCCTTCAGCAACCTTCTCCAACCACCCACTAACTACCGATTGGTAATGAAAAGTCATCTTCTCACCCTTGTGGAGAATATGAAGTCTTTGACTTTTCCTCGTATCTCTATTGTAACCAACTACTTGTCTCCCGTACATCTTAATGGCACTCAAATGGACTATCTCATTGCCACCAAGATTATTGCAAGTCAATATCACACATGTCCTCATGGGTCTGCCTCGCTGTAAGGATTGCTACACTTTCGGTTGCCATCTGAAAACGGATTTCATTCTCCCACCACGTTATATAGTCTCCACACAACCCTTTTGAGAACTAGGATCATAACTCCTCTTTCTAACTCTTCCTTTGCCAAAACCTTGTTGAGTGAGCAGGGCTGCATCTTAATACGCCAAAGACTGAAACTAATCTTGCCTTCAAATTTCTCAATCTCGTATTTTGTCAACATCTCAAAAAACTTGCCAAAAAAATTTCTCGGTGAATATTACCGTATCTGTGAACAGTACCGAATAGTATCTGTGAACAGTATTTATACACAATACACGAACCCGAGCTCTGATACCAGTTTGTTATGAAATAAGGATCAAATAGGAGTTTATGAGAATAAGAGAAAAATAATGACAAGAAAATAAATAAGCACACACAAACGAGATAATGATTTATACGTGGTTCACCCTCACAAATAGGGTTACGTTCACGGGCGATGATGATTCGTATCACTATAAAGAAGAAGATTACAAACTGAAGAACGCTTTGGTTCTTCCTCACAATAATCTCTCTTCTCACACCACTCACTCACCAACAAAGAATACTCAATCAACACTCAAGAAATACCCCAAATAGTATATGGTTTACACAAAGAGAAAAACCTACTCAAATACTAACTTTAACTATCTTTTGAAGATTGTACACACAAAAGGATTTTCTCTCACACACAAAACCAATATACTCTCTTGATCCAAATATTGTCTTACTCTTGGATGCCTCTGGGATGCTTTTCATCGAATGAGTGTAAGGTTATTTATAGCCAAAAATATACTTGGTGTCCAAGTATATTACAAAGCTTCCTTTGAAAGCCAAATAACACTTGTTGCCTAAGAATAATTCTTGTTGCCCAAGAATTTCAAAGCTTCCTTCCGAAGCTAATTTGGAAGCTTCACCATCACATTTCTTTAGCCAAAAGATTTTTGCTGTGTCATAACTAAATTTTAGACAAATTTCTAACACATCCCAAGCTGTTTGTACATGGCATCCCAACAGTTTGTAATTTAAGTCGATATAAATTGTACATAACATCTCAACATCTCAAACAATACGCAGTTTGTATCTCAAGCAGTACATACTTTATTTTATGCTTATGTTATATGTAAAATTCCAACAAATTAGGAAGAGTAATCTAATAAGAAGAAAGACCCACAATCAAGATTTAGATTAACAAAACTTAGATCTATGGATGATATTGTGGAGTCGTAACATCCCAACATAATCCTACTTAACATCCCAAGCAATACGTAGTTTGTATCCCAAGCAATACGAACTTTATTTGTTATACATAAAATCCCAACAAATTGGGAAGAGTAATTAGATTAAAAAAAAAAAAGATTTAAATGAACAAAGCTTAGATCTAAGGACGATACTTTAGAATTTTTGCATAATACTCCAGTGAAATTACATGAGTTGTTGTTAAGAAGCCAGTTTTGAGTGAAGTTATAGAATAGAAGCTGATAAAGCTTTTAGAGAAGAAGGAAAACGACATATATATACACGTATGGAATATAATATTTAAAGTTTTTATATATATAATATACAACTTAAAGGGTGGGTTGTGAAAAAATAATTACCCAATATTTTTAATTAATGTGGTACATTATTAGCCACTTATTTCAAAAAGAAAAACAACGAGGCGCTGTGACCTCTAAACGATTCTTCACCATTAATTTTCTGAGTTCGGAGATCACAAGAAGGAGGTGAAGAAAAAAAATTTACCGCTATTTCACAATTTGACGACACAAAGAATGACCTTATCCTCAATTAAAGTACATAGGATTTTGCAGTATAGACGAAACAACTCAGATTCTTTTCAGACCTTAGACCCTGTTCACCACCTCATCATCCTTCACTATGTCTTCCAGCTTATATTTGAAAACTAACTACTAAGTTTTAACAGCTTTCAAGTCTCTTATCTACAAAAGTAGGGAGACACGTCTTCCACTCACCCACTCCTCAAACTTCTCACCGGTTGCTGTTGCAATTGGACCTTTTTATAGTCATCCGAGAATTAGAGTACATTACAATCAATAGTTAGTATTTGGTTCCAAAACTCTCCACAAAATATATATACATATATAGAAACTCTCTATTCTTCTATAATCTTTTTCAATTATCAATTTTTACAAACTCTTCAATGTTATAAATTATAACAAAAGTCTTTTATATTAATTAAAATGAAAACAAGATAAAGAGAAGAGAAATAACATACGTGTAGTCGAATTTTTTATTATTATTATTTATATAAAAAGTATTAGTATTTGTATTTTTCATTTTGGTTTTTTTAAGCCTAATTCTTATTAATCTTTATTTAAAAATCATTTTCCAATTCGTTTAGGATTTCAAATTGGAATTCGAAAAAAATTTGATTGTAATTAAAATGGAATTTTATTATTGCCATTTGGAATAAATTGAAATTTGAATAGGTTTTGTATTATTTTAGAATGAGAGATTTGACACCTCTGAGCATATATATAGTTTATATAGTTAGTAAAATATGGTAGAAAAATACGTGTTGTAAAAATACGCAGATAATTGATTTTTCTTGTTTAAAAAATGATAAAAGAAAATTAGGCATAAAAAATTCAAAATGAAATAATACAAATACGAATATGTTCGGATATAATATATATATTTTTATATAATAAAATGGGATTTGAAATTGGAATCGGAAAAAGAAGTTGATTGTAATTAAAATGGAATTTTATTACTGCCATTTGGAATAAACTGAAATTTGATATGAAATAGATTTTATACCATTTTAGAATAAGAGATGTGACAGTTGTGAGCATGGTTAGTAAAATAATGTACAAAAATAGGTGTTACAAAAGTATGGATATAATTGATTTTTCTTGTTTGAAAAAATGGATTATAAAAAGATAGGCATAAAAAAACCAAAAATGAAACATACAAATACTAAGACAAATTACACATGTTATTTCTCTTCTCTTATTTTCATTTTAATAATATAAAAAACTTGTATTACAATGTTGAAGAGTCTGTAAAATTTGATAAATTAGAGAAGATTATAGAAGAGTAGAGACTTTGTATATATGTATGTATATATATTTTTTTTGTGTAGAGTTGGAACCAAAAATCTGAACTATTGATTCGTAATGTATCCCTAATTCTCCAGTGAAAAGAAGTTTGAGGCGTGGTGGGTAGAAAACGTTTGAAAATGATAAAAGACTTAAAAGGCTATTAAAAACTTTAATAGTTAGTTTCCAAATATAATCAAATTCCTTCAATTTCTTTTTTGGATTTGAAAAATGATAAAACAGCCTTTCTATTTTCGTAGATAAGAGATATTAAAACTTTGTAATTAGTTCCCAAATATGATCAAATTCCTACAATTTATTTTTGGGAGTCGAATCCCAATCCAATTCTTGTGAAATTCTTTCATTCCAAATACAGTGAAAAGGAATTCCACTATTTTTTTTTTTTTTTTTGACAAACATATAAGAATTACAACTGCACACAAAGATCAGCCCGGGCAAATTGTACCATATGAGCATGAACACACTCTAACACAATATCATCCTAATTTAGACAATTTGAAAGGTTGGCAATCTCATGAGCCATTGTACTCCCTTCTCTCCTAACATGAGAAATATTCAGCTACTTGTACCAACTCAAAGAAGCCTTGAACCAACCCAGAGCTTCTTTGACATCAAAAATTAATGTTGAAAGTTCAAATGGAGAAAATTTCACCCCACAAACAGCATCAATCACCATCTTAGCGGCACATTCCACCCAAAGACTTTGACACCTTAAGTGTTGAGCCCTCCGAATATAATAGGCCTCAGCTACAATAGCTGAGGCCACAAGAAAATGCTTTAGAGTGACTACATGAGTGATAGAACCCTCCGTTGTTTGTTTGTTTATTTTATCATTATATATGTTTATGATGTTAATTGTTGAGCCATGCGTTCAGGCTTTATTTGATTAAATGAAAATAGTAAGTAAAGAAAGTAATTGATAAGCAAAGAAATGGAGATTAAAAAAAATTAATTTAAAATTATGAATATATTCAAAACGTGCCTTACAGAGAGCGCACTAAAAATAATAATAATAAACAAATAAATTTTATTTATAAATAAATTTCCAACTAGGCTTTGTCGTACAAAATCATAAAAAAAAATTATATATACATAAGAAAAATAGAAAATCAAATAATCGGTCCATCCATTACAATATTGGGGCCTTGACATTCAGACCTTGTTAAAATTCAAAATCTTCAATTGTGAATGACTCCTAATGAACGGCTGACGGTTCACTTCAAAGAGGCTTATTAATTTTGTAAGTTCGGAGATTGTAAGAGGTCTTCTAGGCAGAGAAAATAATCGATCCTACTTGCTATTTTACAATTTGTCAACACAAACAATTTTAATATTATACTATATTATATTGATTAATGTATTCTTTCAAACCTAATGATAGCATTTTCAATAAACAAGCAATTAATAATTTTAATTTTTTTATAAAAGATTTTGCCACCACCCATTTCAAATTGGCCAGTCAGGAAAGATTTTGCTACCCATAAATATCATGGCTAATTTTCACAATTGCATAGCACAGAAAACAAAACGATGTAATATCACATCAGAAGAATCCAAGCATACCTAAAAATTAAAGATTTAACAAGAAAAAATCCCTCAAAAATCAACTGACAGCAGAATTGTCATTGCAAAACACCTACTACATAGATCCAACAACCTCTACCCACTACATAGACCCTTAGGTTTCAACTGTAAATTGCAAGACAAAAGAACTACAAGAAGGCTTTCTGACTAGAGAGAGGAAAAGTATTACGCAATCAAGAATCTGCAATGGTAACCTCAACTTCAACACCAGGTTCAATGGTTATGGAGGTGATCTGCTTAACCACATCTGGGGAGCTGAAAAGGTCAATCACCCGCTTGTGTACACGGAGTTCAAATCTATCCCATGTGTTCGTTCCTGTAAATAAGAATGTAAAGCTCAGCATAATTAAAATTTGTCATATTCTCCTGAAATTGTTGAAATCTCCTAACAAAGAGGATATAATTTGTAATACAAATACAGATTCAAGTATACTCGGCCACAGGAATATACTTTACCTAGACAACAAAAATTCTACCACAAAAGTGGGAAATTATAACAGAATACATGGTTTAGCAACTGAAATATATATTTCATTTGTGGGAAGAGTCTACAGCATGACAAGCCTCCAGTTGCTTTACTCAATAAATTAACAATGAAATAGTTGGTAATTGTGGATATCATAGCGCAAGGGCAAAAGAGTTGCCTGTTGGCAAATTCAATTACAATGAATAATTGCACGGTATCAAAATATTCATGAAGCCAATGATTATTCTGCTTTGATAAGAGAGGACAAACTAGGAGAAACATTCATAACCAAATTAAGCACAAATAAATTATATCAAAAATAACTTCAAAATCAAAGTTAAAATTAACAAAAATCAAATACAATCCCATCCAACTTCCTGATTGTTGATATACCAATATCAGAATATGTATAGAGGCCAAATTATATGATAATACTAGAACTGAATTCAAGTCACGAATCAACCACAAAACTAGCTCCCTTCAGCCGGAAGAGGAGTGCTAATGGCAGTCGCTATGGCGACTGTCCATTCACACTCACTCTCGTTATTGGCTACTTTTAAAGTCATTAGTTAATTGTTTCCTACTTTAATAGAACATTAAATACAGTTATTTTTGGACCCAAAAAAAAACCTTTTAAACCTTTCTTTCCTCTCTATCTATATCCTTGTGTACGTATGTATGTAAATTTATATAAACTAATCTTCTGTTATCTTCTTAACAATTTTACTTCAACTAAAACTTAATTTCATAAATTTATTACAATTATGAAAATCCATATTTAAGGTTTGCGTGAATCCATACTCGGGCATTACCGAGTGGCCTAGTTGGTAGAACACCTAACTCCCAAAACGGGTATACACATGTTCAAGTCACCCCTTCCATCTAGTTTGTCAGGATTACAAAAAATAATAATAATAAAACAAAATAAAAAGTATTTGTGTCCAAAAATGACTGCTTTTAATGCTCCATAAAAATAGGGAAACAATTACTGAATGACTTTCAGAATAACCGATTAGGAAAGCAAGTGTGAATGGACAGTCGCCATAGCGACTGCCCTTAGAACTCCTCCAGCACAAATAGTTGCGTAGAATGGATAATATAGGAAGTTAAAGGAAGACACACCAATGGGCATTAGCCCAGATGTTATGATATCTCCCCTCTTAGGGTAATATTGTGGATGTGTTTGCTTAAACTTTATCTGGGTGGACACAACCTATGGTGTCTGAAACAGTATTACAGCCCAACTAAAAATATTTAATTAGTACCCTAACATCGTCTAAAATATTATTCTTATTAGGATTAAAGCGAAAAGAAATACTTGTAAGCCATGGAAATAAAATTAAGCAATGGACGAGACAACAAGAACTGTGAAACACACACACACACATATATATAACAAAAAAGATAGCATTTCTAAACCATTTGCAACTAAAATTTTCTAACCATTGAGAGTAGCATTGACTCTTTACTGGATATAAATAATGAGAATCTCCATTGATATCAGACAATCAAATAATGCTATCCATACAGCAAGTGAGAAATGAGCTCTTCCGTTAGTCAAAATATAATTACCTTCACCACAGGGGGTCTTTCGAGTAGTGATGTGAAGAACCTTGGTTGGCATTCTTACTGGTCCCTTGACTCTCAGCCGCTTGTCCTTGGCACCACGAACCAAATCGGTGCACACTATAAGTTTGTCCCAAATACCAAAGAAGAGAAAACTAAAATTATTGAGTCATTAAAAAAAATGAATGATTATCAAGTGCAAGTTATCAGCTTTAAAATGGAAAAACAGATCCCTAGGAAATACTATCAGAAAGAGAAAAAAAAATAAATCTTCCCTCTAAGTTAAGCCATGAGAAGCCTTCTACTGTTCAGACAAAATGTTAAACGCCATATAGGATTTTCAACATAAAACATTCTTCATTGATAGTTTATGTGAGTTCTAATTTGGCTGTTTCATATGTTCGGAATTTATCCGCAACAGAACAATACTTTGCTCAGTTACAGATATTGGACAACAGAAAATGTATATATACTGAAAGTAAGAGTTATCTTCCAACTACTAAAAACCTTCAAATCGAAACATACAAATGGTAGCATCATAACAGTCATTTCCCAAATCACTAGTTTGGTAATTACTCAACCCAACGACACAAAGCATTTCCCAACTACTAGTTTGGCTAATCTAATTTGAAAATTCAGATATAAAATAGATTCAACATGAAATAAATCATATCTATTAGATCATCATAACTAGACTTGCCAGGAAAAACAAAACTATTATATAATAATTAGAAAATTTGAAAAACTAATCAACAATCAAGTGGGCATGTTAAAAGATTGACATGAGAATTGAAAATGGTTTGATCCAAATCAGGAAATAGAATCGAACAAAGAGACCTTTCTCGAGGTTCTTCACGTTCTTGGAGGAAAGCGTGATCCTGATCTTGTGAATCTGCTCTGCGGGTTCCTCCAACCCTTGCTTTGTCGGTTTCATAGCTCCGTACGCCATTGTTGCTGCGTTTTCTACAGCAAACAGTAATCGAACAACAACGTTACTCAAATAAACAATTTTATACACATATAAACGTATATATATAACGGTTATTCGAAAGATCTATACCTGTCTGCGACGAAGGAGAGAAGGAAGGAGAGACCTAAAGTTCAGAATTGGAGGTGTGGTGCTGCAGAGGAAGGGAAAGCCGTAGCAGCATATGTAATTTATAGTGATACTTTAGGTTTGGGCCTTAGGGTTTGGGTTTTGTTGACCGGACTGGGCCCTGCGATGGTGAGAAATTATAAAAGAAACAGGCTGAGAAGGAATTGGGCCTTTTTAGAATGAAAAAAAAAAAAAAAAAAAAAAAATTCAACTAATTTAAATTTGCTTAAAGCATTTTATATATTTTATACAAGGCAAATTGCATAAAACTCCCTTCCACTTTCAATTTTTAGTACAAAATCTTCCCAAAAAAAATGACTTAGAAACTCCTGAACTAATCAATTGTTGCAAAGTGAGGTTCTAATAACAAAAAAAAGTCCCTTAATATAGTTTAAGGAAAATTAGGTTTCTTTTAAATGATCTTCATTTTAGGTTTATTTTCCTTTTAATTTTTTTAAAAATAAAATATTAAGAAATTTTTTAAACCTGTTCCAAGGTATTTTTATTTCTTAGAGATGCACCATTAATTTTTTTTGTAAAAATAATTTTTTACAACACAATATAGAATGAGTTATTTGTATTAATTTTAATCTTAAATTAATGGAGACTATTTTCCTAAAATTATGTTAAAAGGACATTAAATTTTCATTTCAAAAGAAAAGATACTACTTGAACCAAAAATAGAAAGATGTCTGAAAATATTTTTTTAATCGATTTCTTAACAATCATGCAACGCGTTGCAAATGTAAAAAATTGTTGAGAATAATTGTAAATGTTCTGAATGAAAAAATTACCAACTAATAATTAAGTTTTCGTATTTTAAATCACTTCAAAGAAATAAGCTTACTTGTAATTGGAAAACCTATAAATATTTAATATAGGCAGTGGTTCTAAATCCAGATGACAATTCCATTAGTTATACAATACAAAAGGGCTAAAATATTCTTAGATAATAAATAATTATGCTAATTACATAGTAACTTTTGATCTCTTATTTTGTTGTGACAAAAGTGCATTATATAACTAAAATTACAACAAAAAAATAAAATTGTGATATGTTTGTTTTGTTTTTGTTTTGAAAACATGTATAGTATTATAATTTATTTCTAGCATGTGATGAGAACACTTTCACTAACTTGCATTCTTGAAACTGTTGGATTGAGGGGGGGGGGGGGGGGGAAACATTTTTTAGACTGAGCAAGGGATGCTTCCCAAATACGGAAAGCAACTCAACTACTTGAACAACATTACACTTGTTATTTAACTTATTCTTAATATAACTTGAATAATAAATTCTGAAAATTAGAATATTGAAACAACTTAAATAAATAAGAAGAAAAAACTAACATGAATACATTATGTACCTTTTTAATTGATTGATAAATATACATTCAAATATGTATATTTATAATACCTATTATCTATATAAATTCAAGAGAAAGAAAGAAAAAAAAAATGTTCAGAGACAGTCTCATTTTGAAGAGCTCTCTCTATATTGCAAACAACAGTTTCTAACATAAATAATTATAGATTAATGATTTAAGGACATTAGTTACTGAATTTAATTTACGTGAGTGAAATGGTGAACCTCATCATATAATGTTATCATAGTGCCATGTGATGCAACTCACCACTTTTTTTACACAAATTGAATTTGATATATATATATATATATATATATTTAACGATTCGATCTATATATTACTACTCTAATTATTAATAGACTTACAAATTTTATAAGTGCCATATAAATTTTTTTTTTTTTCAAACCCACCATTAATAATTATTTTTAAATGACCAATGGACTAAACAAAAAAAAAAAAATTAAGAGGCATGGTCCATTCTCTCTCACTGTTGACTACTACCCAGAATCAAAGCACTATGTGATCATTAAACAGAAACAACTACTTGAATTTTGTAGAAACAACAAAAAGTCACATCTTTTTTCAATTGCAAACTTTTTAAACGTTACTGTTGAAATTTTGGAGAAGCAACCAAAATGGCACATTTTGAATCAAAACAATTTTGTAGAAACAATCAAAAGTCACATATTTTTTCAATTGCAAACCTTTAAAACGTGACTGTTGGAATTTTGTAGAAGCAACCAAAATGGCACATTTTGAATCAAAAGTCACGCGTATTGAGTTTGAACTTGCATCCTAACCGTTTGCTGCTCTATAAATAGCATTCATTCTCGTATTGGTACCGGTAGAAAGTCAAACTTTAGTATATGTTTGTTGCCAATCAACTTGATAAAAAACTCTTTTTATTGAGAACAAATACAAAATTCGACTTACACTCTAATGCAATTCGATGATTGGCAAAAAAAAAGTCAGCAAATGCGATATATGTTGGGTCCGGCTATGTAGAGTTTTGGCTCAATACCCTTTGGGTTGTGTGATTTACTTAATAATCCTAAATACCGTTAGTTCTTGTTTTGTGATTTCTTTCGAATGACCCTTTTTGTGGTGTACTTATGGTTTACTAATTTGAAAATTTGAAAGAGTAATTAAAAATGTTATTTTTAGAATTAGCCAAAAAAAAACAAAAGATTTTTTTAGTGAGGATATGTATTCGCAATTCATTTAACCAAACCACCTCCAAAGAGTTTCAACTCAACGTTAAAAGAAGTCTAGAACAGCATAAATTAATCTTAAAAGAAGTCTAGAACAACATAAATTAACCTCTCAATTATATGTTCCAAATTTGCACTTGCATGGCATGTGTGTACACCTTAATTGAATTAATTTTTCTTACTTTACCAATTCCAATTTGCTTCATGGCGGGCTAAGTCCCCATTTGAAAAAGGTTCACCAATATTTCATTTTAATTTGGGTTGAATTATTGGAAATATTTTTTTAACCTTTCCCATTTTTTATAATTTTTTTTATAGGAAATATTTTTTTTAACCTTTCCCACTTTTTATAATTTTTTTATATAAAAAAAAAAATAATAACAATTTGTTTGGAAAAAGCCCAACTTGGAGAGATGATATTTTGTTTTCGTATTTGTAATTAAAAAATAAAAATTAACAATTTGTTTGGAAAAAGCCCAATTCGGAGAGAAATGATATTTTGTTTTCTTATTTGTAATTTTATCTAGATTTATTTGAGAATATATAATTTGGTTGGAAAAGGATTGAACTTCCCCAAAGAAAGATGATGAAATTAGGAAATAAGTCATGATCTTATGGATTGAATTTTCTTGATATGAGTCATGATTTTATGAGTGTGTACTTATTCTTTCGGAATCATTTCAATGGGGTAAAATATATACAAATTATTATCACTTTTATTTGCTATGACAGTTTGAGTTTTTATTATTATTCATAATTTGAGTATTTTTTTATTATTTGTTTATTCATCATTGGACTAATTTATTTGCTCCAACTGTTTTGAGCTTTTTTTCAATTGCATTACAACGGTTAGACTTGCCGACTTTATATGATAAGTCTTAACAGAGTCTGTCCCTATCATTATTCCTCTTCCACGTATATGTTCATCTCATTAACTTGGCAAAATTTATTTATTTTTCTTTAATTGATTATGGATCTAGACTATAATAACAAACCAATTCAATTTTTTGGTGTTCGGCTTAAATTTATAAAACATTAGAATGTTTTATAACCATAGTCCCAAGTAAAAATCGTGCTCATTTTATCCAAAGTAAAATGAATTCTCTTTGTACTCAAATATACTAACTTCTCCTCCATCATTTCTACCATAAAATTTCTCTCCTTGCAAAAATGCAAAAGCATAACACAAATAAATTAATTAAGTGAGCAATTTTATCAAATAGTTGGTGCACAATAAAAAAAAGAGGTATACATTGTAAGCATGTAAAGCACATGCAATAAGCAAAATGAACAGGAAACAATGTTAAACATAGAAATCAGACAATCAAGCTTGCTGAATCTAAAATCTATACAAAATCCACAAAATACCATGTAAACCCCAAGTTGATGATCGGGCCATTGATGAGCTTCATATGACAATCATATGTGGACACCGAGCAATTGTTGCTTGGGGCTGACAATTGAAACTCGTGGTAGTGAAAATGTTTTAATCACATAACAGGGTACTATATAATTCAGAGGATGATAAGGAACATGTTGAAATGTTCTGTTTGCCAATAAGTTCATAACCAACATCAATACTTCATAGTCCAATGGAAAACAAATTTGTTCTATTCAGGTGAACTAAGCAAATAGGCGTTCAGCAAGCACATAAATTGATATAAAAACACCATTCAACAACGAAAAACGCACATTGGATTAACGCCAAGCATTTCATAAACCACCCTGGCATATAATATTCTGAATGTAGATGTTTAGAAGGAAACTAATGAGAGAGTACTACAACATAATTTAAAAAGCATTTAGTTCGAAACATCAGATTTCTCTTCTTTCATCCATGACATGCAAGTAACAAAATCCCCAAATAGCATCCATCCGTAAACTGGGCAAAGCTACACACTCAGCTTAAGCAACAAGAGTGCTGGCAGTCGTAGACTCACTGCAAGTGAGGAGTTTTGAGTTAATGATATAACCAATAAGTCTTCATCAACCAAGCAATTAATAATATTTATAGGCACACTGAGACAAACAAAAATAGACAAAAATATGTTTGATAGGTAGTTTAGGACCTGTTTCGTTCAGTTTTCAGAGAACAAAATCCTGTTTTCTGAGAACTGAAAATGAAAACTGGATTGGTTGACAGTTTCTCATAACTGTTTTGTGAAAAATCAGCTAAAGAGGGGCTGTTTTCAAATAACTGTATTCTATTTTCACTTTTCTGTTTCCTTGAGTTGAGTTGTTGAGAAATGTTTCCCAAGTGACAAACCATGCAGACCATAAGGACTCAATGACATTCAGCGGGTTCACTATAATTTTTTCCCTCTAAATATCCACTTAGTGTCGGGGATTTGCTGAGTCAGAGGATTAATTGAAATAAAAATATATAAATAAAGGTACATTATAATGGACTAGCAATCTTAAAGAGTAGAAATAAGATAATTGAATGAGTTATATCTATCATAAACACATTTTTCCTAAAACAATACAAAGAAAAAAGAGATTAATAAAATTTTCAGAGAATTTATGTTCATTCACTTTAAACAAAGACTAATTTATATTAAATAAATAAAAAAAAAAAATTAACGAATGGAGGTATGAAACATGGGAGAGGGCTTACTATTTCCAAACAGGAGGGAGCTTCTTGGTTTTCTTGTAGTATCGTGCGAGCCTGTGTATCCTGCTTTCCACCAGAATCAGTCGAAATTTGGAATCCTTGTCCTTCCTGTTCCTCTCCAAATGCTTCCGAATCGCAACCGCCTTCTTGATCAGATGGTACAAGTCCTCAGGAATCTCAGGAGCAAGCCCTAAAAAAAGACACTTTATATTTATTTCTGAGTAACCAAACAGAGATTGAATTGTTTAGAAAGAAGGGAAATTTCACCATGAGCCTTGAGGATTCGCAAGATCTTGCTTCCTGTAACGCTCTTCACCTGAGCAATACCGTGAGAGTCACGAAGAATGACGCCGATCTGTGACGGGGTCATACCCTTCTTCGCGAATTTGCAAATGTTCTCATCGACCTGAACAATCACAACATAATTACAAAGACATTTCAATTTTAAGGATACGTATATAGGTATTGAGAGTTTCTCACTCACATCCTGGGAAGAGATCTTGAGCCAACTGGGAGGAGTTCTCTTGTAAGGCAGAGCCGAGGCAGAGATACCTTTACTGAAAGCATATAAAAACACTGGTTTAGATTTATAGAGAGAGAAATTAGAGAGAGAAACATATATTGATGAGATTCAGACCCGCGACTGTGCATTCGACCCATGGTGACGAAGGTGAAGGTGAAGGTGAAGGTGAAGGTGCTGCCTCTGCTTAGCTTTCCCTAAGACCCAAATGAAGTCTGAAACCCACAAACCCTAGCTTCTAAATTGTGTTACTATATTTTAGGGTTATATACTGAGAGATGCTAACTTAAAATCTCGAATTTGCCCTTCCGATTGTTATAAATAGACCATCATATCCTGTGATAAGAATGTGTTTTTTTTTTTTTTTTTTTTTAATAAAAAAATTGTACAGATTATCTCATTGTAGCTTTGGAAATAAATATGAAAAATAAATGGATAAGGAGAATGTGGAAAAATTATTACTGTAGATGATTCAGGTCCGTTGGATAAAAATTAATTTTAAATTTTTTTTATAATATAACTAGTCCACCAATTCTTCAGAAATGTGAGGTGAGGTTGTTCACTCATTTTCATTATCTTTCTACAACTGAGAAGAAAATAATAGTAATTGTCAATCTCCATGTTCTTTTCTCATTATCTTTCTGTTAAAAAAAGAAAAAGAAAAAAGAAATGAATAGATCACCACCATCTTTTTTTCTTCTTCCTCTTCCTCCTTTTTTTTTTTTTTTTTTTTTTTTTTTTTTATGGCTTATTAAAAAACGATGAAAAGTGAAAAACTGCTACTATTTTCACCTTATTTTTTTCCTTCTCTCAGAATTAATGTTGTTTTTTTTAATTCAAATGCACATCTTTGTATGAAAGGAGGAGTGGAAAAGGAGAGCAAAGTCAAAAAAACAAAATCATATAGGAGAAAGAAATAAATAGAGTAGGGAAATTTGCCAAACTTCCGAACATTGGAGAAAAGGAGGAAAATAAAAGAAAATTTTTCGGTCATCCCCCATCTTCATTTCGTTTGCATTTTTTATTCTCCAAAATGTCCTGTAAGGCCATAACAAAAGGACTCTCTATCCATGAAATAAAGCCTCACTATGTCCCTAGACCTAGTGAGGTTCGGGTTCCTTCACCTCAAGAGGGAAATTAAAAACATCTCAATTTCTTTAAAATGAATGGTACAATTAGCCAGAGAAGTTGGACCATACGGGTTAAGTTTACCTTCACTGCCTTTTCAAGATGGAGTATTACCCATTTCATGGAGTTTATCGTCACTGCCACATCCCGTCTAACATAAGCAGGCATATTCATATCCAGTGCATGAGGCTCTTGCCATTGCAGAGTCTAACGATAACATAACTCAATTGACGTGAAAACAGTACTCAATGAACCATGTAACTATCAAAAAATTTAACATGGGAGTAGCTAACAAGCTTGTAGATGGAAAGGCTGGATGCTCAGTCGAGTAGTCAAGGTTATTCAATTAAAGAACAAAATATGCATGTTTATTAACCAGTCTCTGCAATAGGGATAACCTACATAGGCTACATTCCCTTTAGTAAGTTAATTTTTTAAATGTTGTTACTAAGACAGTTCAAGACATTTATTTCAAATAAAAATCCACAAAATACAATTCATGAAAACAATTATAGGATAAAACTATTCATTCCTGTAATATTTAAGGATATAATGAAAAATGAAACATCCTTTTCTTTTCTACTCAATCTCCATACTTATGTCGAAAAACAGTAGCTGAACAATAAGCCAAACTAACAGAGATTAAGGCAGGTGTTGCCTAAACATACACCACACAATTGGAAGAAAAATATACACAGTGGGTATCACAAGCACATCTAAAAGATGAACACTCTTGAAAAGCCAGAAAACTTCAAAAGATCCCTTGCGAACATTGTATCACAAAATGTTTATCTATACAAGGGCAAACAGCAAATGAAAATATGCAGTACCAAAAAAAGGTAAGACAACGAAAAAATAAAAAAAAAGGTTTCCCCTTCATGCACAAAATCTGTAGAACCTCAACTTATAGATCACCTGCATGCAAAAGTATATGGAGCACGTAACAGTCAGAATGAACTTCAAAATACTTCGGATCTGACTAACAAACAGGTAAAAAGGGGAGAGGTCCGAAAGGATATAGAAGATGAAAAAAAGAGTGCTTAGTGTTACAGAATGGGTCAACAATGAGGAAACGAAACAAAAAAATTTATCTTAGTGGCCAAAACGGTTACCAAGTTAAAACTCAAAAGTTCTAATTCCTCAAACAATTACTACATCTCTATACTCACCTGAAAAAAAAAAAAAATTAGTATGAGATGCGGCAAGCCATGTTACAAGTGTTATCCATCTCAAGTTTGCAAACTTCCCCAAACAAACTTTGGAAACCTAATAGGATAATAGCCAGTTTACAAGCAGCGATAGATGGATGCCACTTGATCACCTTATTTATATAAGAAAAATGCAATGCCTTGTTTTCTTTCTAGCACCACCAGTTGAATAGACATCCATATTCTCAATGTAAATAGTTGCATATTGAATTAATGCAAATCCTATGCTCTTATTTGTAGTAAAGTTCAATACAATTTTGCAGCTTTTATTTCTCCAAACTTCCCGAAGTCGTACTATCCTCAACAGCAATCATTGAATGGCCAAACCACTAAAAAATCTAAATCGGCATTCATTGATGCATGCTTTCAATGAAATGAACAGTGACATCAGCTGTCCACTATTTTTGAAGTAACCATCCTCCACAATGAATCCATCAAGGTCCCTAGACAGGTTTCCTCAAGCACCCAAAATATGCTAGCTACTAACCTTTAATTGAGTTTCCATAACCAGTGGTTCTAGAGGTGGAAACCATAATGCTCACTTGAAACCCATACAAATGCAATCTGTCCTCGGTTAACATCAAGTCACCAAGAACATCCATGACAAAGCCAAGTACTTTAAATTACCAATTAGACTATTTCAACAATAAACGTTACCATGGCTGACCTAAATATTGCATTTAAACAACATTTGGATTTGAATGGTTCCGTCTACTTTTTACATAGAAGATCAATGCAAAGTTCTATCATATCGATTGGATACATATAGAAAAATGAAAACCATCTCAAGGTATAATGGTATATGCGATTTTTTTGAAGAAATTATTTATTCTTCTAAATGACCATGTAGGTACATGTGACAAGAAATATAATAAAGTCCTCTATTTCCCATAATGGTCATCTCTCTGATGATAAAAAAAAATTGGCATTTCAAATGACAAAAAAGGTGCAGTGAAGCCATTAGTTGATTTAGGGCATGGCTCAAGAATTACAACTTCATGTGAAATTTTAAATATAAGGAAACTGGGGATCTCGCTTTGTAGTTTGTTCCTCAGCCTAAATCCTGGTGCATTCTTGCCACCATCAAAGATTCCATAATCTCAAATCTAAACTCCAACTGAACAACCTCCAATAAAGTCACTTTTTTTCACATCCCCCTCCCTCCTAACAAGTTTTCCAAATATAAGCTGATTCATTCATCCATTGCCTAAATGTTATTTAGCATTTAAAAGGTAATTAACATGAAGACACGTGATTTTGTTACTCAAATCTGGTTTGACTCATTCAGAATAACAGCCCTCTTGACTGTGGTCTATTCTCCATCACCTGATAAGTTTCCATGCAAATTGTCGGGTTTCAAAGGTGAAAATGTAAAATGTTATACCAAAGGTGAAAAAGCAAAAATTTATATATATTTTATCGATCATAATTTTCAGAAATGTAACTGTACTTTCTAATGTTATTAGGAATTCAATATTGTTAATTTCCCTATAATTATCTTGTTTAGAGATAATAATCTAAATGGTGAACTAAATTAGACACAGATATAATATTGCATGTACAGGGAAACCGTCCTTCTCATAGTAATATGTAAATTTGTATCCCTATGTGTGTGAAAATATGCGTGTTTGTGATTATTAGCTTGTGTATGTATTCAATCATCAATCCACAAACAACACACGATGAGCACATACAAAACCAACCATCTCCAAAACCTACGAAGAAAAAAAAAAAACAAAATCAAACCAAACCCTACAGAGAGAATTTCACTTACACATCACTTGGCAACCATCCTAGCAATGAAGTCCTCGTACCGGATCTTTCCGTCGGATCCAACATCGACCTCCCGGATCCACTCGTCGAACTCCGCCGGCTCCAATTTCTCTCCGATGCTGGTAAGAATGTGCCTTAGATCCGAAACGACGACGTACCCTGTCCCATCCTTGTCCAGAACCTTGAACGCGTCGCGGAGCTGACGATCGAAGGGTTCCGGTTTGAGGTGCTTTGACATCAGGTCGAGGAATCGAGGGAAATCGAACGGCGAGGTTAGCTTTTCCTCGGAGACGATGGACTTGAGCAGGGCTTGGGTCGGGTTGCCTCCGAGTGACCGCATCAAAATGCCCAGCTCGGACGGAGCGATCTTTCCGTCTCCGTCGGTGTCGAAGAGCGTGAAAGCTTCTTTCATGGAAGATACCTGGTCGTCACTTAGATCTTTCCCCATTGTTGCAGCTGCTCTACTTTCTCTCTCTAGAATCTCTGTCTCTCACCCTGTTCGCCCTGTCCAAAATACTGTAGTAAAGTAAATTCATTTGTGGGCTTAATTCTAAATAAAATGAGTGCTTCACCATTTCATGATTTATTTATTTACGTTTTTTTTTAAAAAAAGTTTATTTACTGTACATACTTTTTGTGAAAGCGCTTCATGATTTTGTAACCTATACAACGTATAATAAGGCCCAATATTTGACCAAGCCAATATAAACTGTTAGAAAACCACTTTGGCCCATATAAAATAGTTCGGTTTTAAGCCCATACAAAATAGTTCGGTTTTTAGCCCAACTATAGGCTTTTTTTTGGTCACGAAGAATCACCATTGACACGTGTTTCATGAAATTATTACAAGGGTCCAGCTAATCATGTATTGACACATAAGTAAAAAGTGAGTTGAAATTGACATAAAAGTGACACATTTACTTATGTATCAGTACATGATTGGTCTGGCTTCATTTCACCTTTTGTTCACATGTCAATTGGTGGTGATTGGCAGAAATCAATGGTCCCGGAACTAGATCGGTAGCTTCATTTCACCTTTTGTTCACATGTCAATTGGTGGTGATTGGCAGAAATCAATGGTCCCGGAACTAGATCGGTAAACAAAACAATCCGATCCGATAATTCATCGAATTTTCAAGTAATGAATCCATATTCAAAATCCTATTTATCAAATGCCTATAATCAAGCTAACGATATCAAGTTTTTTTATAAAAAAAAAAAAAAAAAAGAGTCTCGATATTAGGGCTTGTATATTGTTTAATCAATAATAATAATAATAATATGGCTTGTATATTGTATTAGAGAAGAAGATAATAGAAGAGAGAAATAGTAGTACTAAACTCAGCTTTTCGTCGTGAAAATAGGGTTTTTTCATTGTTTACCCAAAAAAATCAAGGCTTGTACATTGTATAATACATATCATATATTATCTAATCGGATCAGGTTTTATGGGATTGAATTAGCCCTAGTCCATATTCGATTTGTTAAGCAATTGGATTATTGGATTCGGATTGTTGTTGAGTTATCAGATAAAAAACACAATTCATTTCCGACTTAACTAATTGGATTCGAACCAAAATCTAATCCATTGACATATCTATCCGGGACTCTGTAATAATTTCTTCAAGTTCAAAACAAGAACAATAAAAACCATATACATCAAGCTTGTGCCCTGAGCTGACCCTTAAATGCTTGAGTTGGAGATTCTATTTTCATGTGCATATGTTTAGAAATGCTACCACATATGTCATCTAAGCTGGTTACTAAACACATTATTTTTATGTGGTGAGCATGTCTGATTAAATAAAACTAATGAATCATATTCACAAGAGTGAGGTGAATTGTGATTTGCAACAAATTTGATCTCTTGATTTGCTGGACACATGTTTTCTCATGTCCTAAAATAAGGGCTTAACTCTCTGGTTTAGGCCAAAATAGACATTGCTAGATATAAGAAATGATGTGTTCATGGGGAGAATGATAATGACTCTAATTAATTAATCGCTTCCAAACATGGCCTAAATACACCTTGCATTAAATCTACAGTCCAAAATCTTTCATTGATAGGAAAATTTCCAATTAATTATACAAAAAGCAATTAATTTTTCATAAAATTTAATCAAAAACCAGAAGGGTATTGCATACTTTTGACCAGCTATGTACACTTGATATTTTTGTAGAACTTTGTTAACCAAAATTTAGGCTTCAATAACTCTTCCCTGAGGAGATCTGACCCTGAACACATGCTCTTCACCTGTGCATTTATCTACTTTAACAACCCAATGACTTCTTGTCTTCCCAAAACCACCACAATTGGCTCTCTTGGCCTTTGCAGCTACTCTGGTTAGTAGCAACCCTTCTCCTATAGGCAACAACTGAGTATTCGATCCACTCCATTGCCACGAGTCCTTGCAAAACGCGTTATACCCTAGAATGATGGCACCATTAAGCCTCCCACCTGCCTGCACTGCTCTGAGGATTCCTTCATGGTTCTCAAGGTTGCAATCGATGACTAGAAAGTCCGCTTGCTTGTAGTCATTTAGCAGCAGATTTTGAGCTTCTCCGATAACAAATTGTACATGACTTGCATTGTGGCCTAGAGATTGCTTGGATAAGTGTAGCTCTTCATTGCCACGGAGGATGCAAACAACGCGGCCACCAGTTTGGTGGGCAGCTGCCACAAGGGCTAGTGTGGCGGAGCCTGCAATGCCTGCACACGCCACAACCAGGAGTTGCGCGTTGTTTCCAGCTGCAAGGGCTGAAATGAACTCGGCTGCATCTGGCTCTTTAGCCCCTTTTCCCTGAATTAAGATCAAATGAATCAAAATTAAAATTTGAAATAAAGCATAAAATGAGGTTAAAAGGTTAAAGTACTAATGTTCATTGGTGTTTAATTGAAGACAAAATCATTTCATATATACTCACCATTTTCATTGTTTTGAGGTAGGCTTTAGTGGCATTTTCAGCAGACCAGCAAGCCATGTCTCTCTCTATGGTTTTAGTTCTCTCTTTGCCTTTGCTTCAACTTTTGACAGAAGAAGAGACCTTTCAACCTTTATATATAAAGGCCACATGCTTGGGCAGTTGGCCTTGTGGATTTTATTTACATAATTTTTTTTTAAAAAAAAGGAAATTGGATATTGAAGGGACAGTGTCTTCCAATTGGACAATGTAAATTATATTAAATTAATATATGAACTAAAAATAATTGCCAACTAGTATGGGCTTCAATGGTTTTTTTAGTCTTCAATGCTGGTAACTTAATTCTTCCTACACAAAATTGTATTAATTTTGTTGTCCACTTAGCTTAAAATAACATATAACATACTGATTAAATTTGTTATTGATCTCTGTGATCTTTCCTGGACACCAGCTTAAGAATCGATACAAAATTGTATTAATTTTGTTGTCCACTTAGCTTAAAATAACATATAACATACTGATTAAATTTGTGATTGATCTCTGTGATCTTTCCTGGACACCAGCTTAAGAATCATTACAAAATTGTTTAATGGTGGATGGAATACTTAAATATTTGTGATGCAAATGTAACCTAGTAATACACCATTCCCCAAATATGCATCCATTAGCTGTAATGTCTTACACTGGAGAGACAGTTGACACTTTTTCTATCAAATTGAAGCAATTTATTAAGGTCTGTAACGTTAGTTTATTGCCTCAATCCTGCAAATTAAGCTATACAGAATAGTTCAAAACCGTGTGCTGGAACAAATTAACCGGTTTCTGTTGTTAATTTAAGGCGTGCTTTGAAGTAGATTAGCAACAGCAATGGAATGATAGTGGTAAGAAAATCAAGTGGAATAATTCTAAATGCTAGTAAATAAAATAAAAAAACACACACACACACACATATATATATATTAATGATATATATAGTATATAACAGTAGCAGAGGAGGTCTTATTCTGCCACTGGAAACCCTGACAGGGATCTAGATCCAATCGACTTGCTTCCCTCGCGAAAACATGAACAACAAGGCAACACCATATATAAAATCTGTGTCTCGTGGTCTCTCTTACATTATTAGAGTCCCATTTGACTGATTCTTTTATAGAGATCACATAATTGTGAATAGACAATGTGTTCCTTTCAATTACAAGAAGAAAAAAAATGAACTTGAAAATTAATTTCCTTTGGCAATTCCAATAATATATATAAAGATTCTGGTTGCCACTGTTTGGATTGGTAGTTTATCATTATACTGTATAATCATCGATCTCTTCTTCTTTTTTTTTCCTGAAATTCAAGCAAATAAAAAAATATAGGGGTGTATAATCATCTTTGTTATATACTTGAAAGGTACATACATGTATATAATGAATGTATATATGTACGTGTTCACGGCCGTGTGTATAGTTTTGATTTGCTGGCTAGCCATGGTCATGTGTGAGTCCTGCACATGGCTATGGCCTCACACAAGCATGCACAGTACTGTTGTACATTCACATGGCACATGATGAAGATACACATAATTGGCCTTTTTTCAAGAATTTCACCTAATATATATACGTATATTTATGTGTATGTATACGTATGTATTTGCTAGGAGAAAGTAGTTTAGCCGACTGACGAGTAGGAATGGTTTCTGAATGCTTCATGTTTATTCTCAAATTAGCAATGAGTGAGGCAACATGGTTTTATAAGGCTAGTAGATCTTCATAATTATTTTAGGTCACGTGAAATTCCATTAATGGTAGGAATTAATATTTATGAATGTAGAATAGTAACAATTTGATCAGTTTTCAGGCCCTAAAAAAGTTCGATTTTCTTTAATTTTCTTTGTTTTATTAGTTTAAGTTTGATTTAACATTAAGGTATAACTTTGCACCTTTTTCAATATATTCATCTATTGATTAGATGTAAAATTATATATATATATATATATATATATATAGGGGGACAATTGAAACTTGTATAAGACAACAAAGAAACAGCAAATAATTAAGTTTTGTTGGGATTTATTAGAGACAGCAAAAATAAGGTCCATGTTAGTTCTGACAGTAACCAAACAAATTGTGGTGTTCTAATTTCTGAATTTAATACTACAAGACTAGTGTAAATCTAGGGTCAATTTTATAGGTACCTACGTATTCAGTCCTATTGTGTACGGGACCGTATGATGTCCATTTCAAATAAGAAATTAGATAATATTTTATGCTAGTAATTGTGACAAAAATATTTCTATAATATATATATATATATATATATATATATATATATAAATTGAAAGGTAATATTTCTATAATATTGGGGACATGTTAATTTGTATGTCTCATATATGTCAATTGAATAGATTCATGATGTACGTTTTACATAGCTTTTGATGTTACAAGTTCACAACCCAGAGAGAACCAAAATGCTTGTGTACTTTATCCATGTATATCTGCATAATAAACCGCTACATTATAGAATTAAACAAGGTCTAAGGTTAATAAAATTAAAAGAAGCATCAACAAAAAAATTTAGTTCACTTTTCAATATATGGTTGTTAAGCATTTTTTTCTTTTTATATAGGCACGTCCCAAGAGATCTTATATATATTGAGAGTCTGAGACAACAAATTAGAGCTAGCCCCACATGTAAATTTTGTGTCTTGTGGTCTTGCTTCGCATCATGTCATGACACAAGTCCCATTTATCTGATTCGATCTTCTGAAGATAATGGATTTGTTAAGTTGAGGTGACCATGTATATATATATATATGCATGGTTGGGGGTATCATGGTGTCAGAAATTAATAGACAAATTAAATTTTCTTGGGCATGCTTTAGAACTTTCTCGGGAAATTAAATTGATTAAAGCTAAGGGGAAGAGAAATGGAGGCATGCATGATGCATGATGCATGATGCATGAATTATAAAGAAAAGTTGCATGATGCATATTATATGTGTGTGTGTGTGTGTGTGTGTGGGGGGGGGGGGGGGGGGGTCTAATTGTCTCTCGTCTAAAAATTGTGGTTGATAACGATAGAGCACATGCATGTACGTACCCTAAAGGTTGGCTTTTCTTTTTCTCTTTTTTATTAGGATCCGGGGATTTTTTTTTTTTTTTTATTTTATTTTGTGGGTTAAAATGAAAGTTGGTTTGTTGCATCTGACATGAGTTGTAACACATTTGAACAAAAATATTACAAAATTGTAATTGTGATAAAAATATTGCTATAATAGAGACATATATATATATATGTAGGGACATATCCATAAAATGGTAATATTTTGTGAGCATATATTTGAAAAAAACATATTAACAAAGGTATTTTACCATTTTTTTTTAAAAAAAAAAATTATGGGAGGACAACTCCTCAACTTGCCGTAGGTCCATCCATGGATATATGTTTTTAATATTGCTACAATGGAGACATGTATATGCAAGGACGGATTCATAAAATAATGGTAATATTTTGTGGGCATATACTTGCAAAAAATATATTAACAAAGGTATTTTACTATTAAAAAAAAAAACAGGTGAGGACAACCCCTCAGCTTGCTGTAGGTCCGTCCATGTGTATATGGTTTAATCAAATGTCTCGTATCAATTTTTTTTTGGTTTTTTTGAATGGTAAATGTCTCATATCAATTGAATAAATTATACATGTAACTTTTACATAGCATTTTACAAATTCACAATCCAAATAATCCAAATGGCTGTGTTCTTTGCCCGTTTACATTCGCATACATAATAGACTGCACATAATACAGAATTAAATAAGTATATAAGGTCTAAGGTTCGAAAAAATCAAAGCATCCACAAAATTATTTAATTTTCTCTTTACACGGATACAAATTAGGCTATATTAATATAAATATAGCTATATGAATAGCCAAGTCACAGAGGCACCTTATATAATCTGCGCCCAAAACGCTATACAAATTAAGATCCAAAATGGGATCAAATATAAAGCTCCTCCCAAACACATTGAGACAAAAATTAAGGACTAGACCCACATGTAAATTTTGTGTCTTTTGGTCTTGCTTTCCATCACATCATGCATAACACAAGTCCCATTTCTCTGATTATGCTGGAGAGATCATATGCAATGAATAATTAAGTTGAGGTGATCATGTATATGCACGGTAAGAGGTATAATACTATAATATATGTTGAAAATTAATTAATAAAAATAATTTTCTTGGAATTCTTTAAATTTTTTGCGGGAATTTCTTTTCGTTTCTTGTCTACAAATGGATTAAATATTATTTTTTGGAAAATAAACATGGATTAAAGATAGGAAATTTGTGGGAGAGAAAAGCTAATTAGGGCGAAGACGAAAGAGCCATGATGCATGAATCATGGTTCGCCGTATCGGATGTGGTATCAGTCGAGATAGCAGTGTAACAAACTCAGACAAAGTCAATGTATACTGATCGATACATATCACGTATCAAATTAAAAAAAAAAAATCACGTATCAATAAATACGTTACATATCGAATGTATAGGACCACATAACGATGACATGAATTATAAAGAAAAGTTAAATGATATATATCATATACATCTATGTGGGGTCTAATTGTCTGAAGTCTAAAGATTGTGGTTGATCGATAATGATAGAGTGCATGCATGTACCCTTGCAGCAAACAAGTCTGTATGGGCCAAGCACTTCAAAAGGTACTTTCTATTGTACCATTATCTTCTCCCTCAAGAGAAGTACCTTGAACGTCTTTGTGCATGCGTATGTGCATGTGCTCCATGTGCCTGGGTAAAAAAATAAAAATAAATTGAAAATAAATATAATTATTATAAAATTATTTATATCAAGTTGAGCTGATATAGAGTTTGAAAGTCCGCCTCTTCAGACTAAATTTATATCATTATATATAATAATGTCGATGGCATGCCTCACTCACGTAAAGTAATAGAGACAATCAATTTTTGGATTATTTATTATTATTCAATTAAATTTTACAACAGTAATTATATAGAAATGATACACAAAATAAAAAATTTGTTGCACAATGAA